GTGTGTCATCCGTGCACGCGGCCATCCACAGCCCGCCCCGCCCCCGCCGCCATCATGGGCTGGTGGATGCTTCCCTTGTACGAGCTTGAGCCTTAACCGAGCCAGGAGGCCCGGAGTGGCGTCCACTTGGGCCCCGAACCCCACGCTGGACCCCGGGCAACTCGGGTCGCCTCTGCGTTGTAAGGCTATTCCCTGCCGGTCCCTCGGTTTCCTCATCTGTCAAGTGCAGGTGCTCTTCCTCCCTGGCAGCCGGCCCGTGCCAGCAGCTACAGGCTGGACCCGCTGCCCTGGGCAGAGCCCGGAGACCTGGTTTCTAGTCGGCCCCTCCCGCCGCACCCCTGTTCACTGGTCCTCACCCGTGTGCCGTAGGGAGTCTGCATGGCGCGGCCCCGCAGTGAGCGGCCGTCACACACGCACACACACGTATGTGCACACGTGTCCATCCACGGACCCCTCAGTTTCAGTTTTGATGTGACCTGACTCAGGTTGACTGTGCTGTTTGCGTTTCCTTCATTCACTTCAGGAGACCCCGGGCCTTGGTTTTCCAAATAATTCCTTTGACCTGGGGTGGGGAGCTGAGGAAGCTCGCGGGGAGGCCACGCTTGGGTTTCCCCGGGAGGTGCCGGGCGTGGTGGGGCTGGGGGTCGGCGCGGGATTCGAGTCTCGTGCTCCCAGTTGCCGCCAGAGCCTTGGGTTCTGCAGGCTGGTTTCCTCACGCCAGAGAGTCACCGCAAACGTGAAAGGGGCCGTCACCAAGGATCAAAGGAAAGGGACTCCACGGGCGTGGGCTGTGCCAACAAAAGCCTGAAACTCGGCGTGCGTGGGCCGTCGCTGCTCCCTGGACCGTGCCCATCTGGTTCCGTGCCGGTTCGGTCCTGCTGGCCTACTCGGACCGGCGGTGCATGCTGTCCCTGGCAGGGCGCAGCCGACCCTGACAGCCTCCGGTCCCAGCAGACGGTGCGCGCCCCGTGGCGGAGGCGGCACAGCTGGGGGAAGGGTTCCGGGATGCCTGGCACGACGCAAGCTGGAAGCTGTTTCTCTTCGTGCTTTCCCGACACGCAAAAGAATGGCAGGCCTCTGGTGTCTGCCTGGCTCTGCAGTATTTTGGGGAGGCGAGTTTCTAGCGCCACTGGGCGTGCCCCGGCGAGAAGCCTCCTGGCAGGCTAAAAGTGTTATCAGAGGATGATATCCGTCTCTAGGAACGTGGGCTGGAGCTGTGTGGACTGAGTACTGGTTTTTTATTGTCTTCTTTGAGAGAGTCCTCCTCTGTTTGCCCGGGCTAGGTGAAGTTCTGGCCCCGTGGCGTCGAGCGTGCGCTCACAGCAACGCCTCAACTCTGGGCGTCAGCATCCTCCGCCTCGGCTCCCGAGTAGCGGAGAACAGCATGCGCGCCATGCCGGCTACTCTCTTTTATTTGTTAGTGGAGGATGTGCGCGGTCTGTCTTGCTCAGGGGTCTCGAGTTCCTGCCTCGTGATCCTTCCCGCCTCGGCTCGCAGAGTGTTGGGATTCAGGCGTGAGCCACCATGCCCAGCCCCCAAGTTAACTTTAAAATCAGTAAGTCAATTATCAAAATACCTTTTCGTTATCGTGTGAGGAGCAAACGCTCTTTGCGTGGGTCTTGCACGGTTAAGTCTTGGAACTGTTCCCATCTACCCATCGAGGGGTTCACCTCTCTTTAGGAATTTTGATTTTAAACGTTTGGTCGTTTTCAATTGTCTTGCTCGATAGGAACATAGCTGTTTTTCCTTTCAGCAGTAAGGTTGTATTCTTGTTTGGCGCGAGCCAAAATAGCGTGTGCCCACTGTGGGAATTATAGAAAAGGAGTGGAAAATTGACGCAAGAGAAGAAGGAAAGAAACGCCTGATAAAAATGAGAGCATGACGTGAATTGACGAAAGGCATGGGGAACCTTACTGGGCAATCGGACCATCTGGTCTTTCAAGGGTTTTAGGAATCATACTAGGCACCACCGTACCTGGTCAGGAAAACAGCGCCTGCCACACTTAAGAATTATGGTGCACTTCAACAAATATGGCAGCAAATTGAAAGAGATGCTCAAATCTCTAATCATTCAGAATGGCACATCAATGAAAGAGAGTATACTCAGTCACCCAGTGAGAATGGCCTTTATCAAAAGAACAGTCCAAGAAACAATAAATATGAGCGGGTGGATGCGAGGGGAGGATGAGACAACTCCTACAACTGAGCAGTAGGTGGGTACTGCAAACGTAGTTCAACCTACTGTGGAAAGCGCAATTTGGAGTACCTCAAAGGCGATTACACAATGTGGAATTCGTGACCTTTGATCCAGCCAATCCAAAGGTTACTGGCGCATACAATCCAAAGCAACAAAAGTAACTTTATGAAAGACACCTGCACGCCTACAATGTTTATGCAGCAACAATTCACATAATTGCAAAAGTGATTGTGGACACAACCGAGGTGCGCATCCACATGAGTGGATATACGAATGTAGTGATTGTGATAAAACCATGGCGTACGTATCTCAGTCTAAGACATGGTGGATATAGCACCTCTGGTGGTTGTTCTGGGGATGGAGCTGGAGCCCCTTACGTAATGAGTATGCCAGAACTGGAAAAACAAGCACCACATGTACTCACCAGCAAATTGGTATTAACGGATCAGCACCTGAGTGGACACATAGGAATAACATTTATCGGGTGTGGGGCAGGTGGGAGGGGGAGGCCGGGATAAGTACATAAATAAATAATGAGCGAGATGTGCACCGTCTGGGGGATGGTCACGCTTGAAGCTCTGACTTAAGGGGGGCAAGGGCAATTATATGTAACCTTAAGATTTGTACCCCCATAATATGCTGAAATAGAAAAAAAGATTTGTGCACTTCAGTGTATGTAAATTTTATATTGAAAGAAAATCTGTCAACAATTATTGATCTAGGTCAATGCCATGCATGAAGAAGTATTTAGGGGGTGCACAGATGTCTGCAATTGGCTCTCATGGGCATCAGGAGGTCGGGCAGCTTGCTGATGAGTGATGGGTAGGCATGAGACAAAGCAGCTGACGTGAAATGTTAACGGCAGAATCCAGATGGTGGGGATGTGGGTGTTCGTTCACTAATAAAATCCTTGCATAGTGACTTAACATAGAACTTTGCTGTGTATTCGAAAATTTGCATGATAAAATATTGGGGAAAAGTGTTTACCAATTCAGAAAAGAATTCCATATTTACAATACAAATTTAACCACTATTAACATTTTAGTGCACATTATTTCATTTTTGTTTCCAAAAATTTATCATTTTATATCACTAAGATCTTAGATTTGTTTTCATGTTTTTTCACTCAATATTGTACCATAGTTTTCTTTTGTTGTGAAAAGTCTTTATTATGTAAGTGATAAATTACGGTTTCATTTACACACAGCAAAACTCAAAAACACTTTTTTTTTGGGTGGGAGGACACAGTCTCACTCTGTTGCCTGGGCTAGAGTGCCATGGCATCAGCCTAGCTCACAGCAACCTCCAACTCCTGGGCTCAAGCGATCCTCCTGCCTCAGCCTCCCGAGTAGCTGGGACTACAGGCATGTGCCACCATGCCCGGCTAATTTTTTCTATATATTTTTAGTTGTCCAGCTAATTTCTTTCTATTTTTTTTTTTTTTAGTAGAAATGGGGTCTCGCTCTGGCTCAGGCTGGTCCTGAGCTCAAACCATCCTCCCACCTCAGCCTCCCAGAGTGCTGGGATTACAGGCGGGAGCCACTGCGCCCGGACAACTCATACTTTTTAGCGTATAGTTCTGTGGGTTTTGACACGTGTACAGTCACAGAAACACCACCACTGAGATGCAGAATAATTCCATCTTTTCAGAAAATTTCTCTCTGCCCCTTCATGGTCACCCCTCCCCCCACATGCAGCCCCTGCAGCCACCGACCTGTTTTCCGGAGGGTCTCTGACTGGTATCGCCCACGACACTGGGTCCCTTCCCTCATGCAGGCTAATGCCCTGACAGCCATCGTGTCTTGCGCTTAGTCCTAGTTCATTCTTCGTTACTTACGGCCAGCGTCCCATTGTAAGGATATGCATTCGTGTAATTTTCCTGTCTTAAAACTTCACTATCATAGCATGCTTCGTTTATGCATTCTACCATTATTTGGATACTTAAGATGTTTTATGTTTTGCTATTATAAACACCGTGAATTCCTTCATGCACACTCATTGTCACGGGTGATTGCTTTAACCACTTCGGTACAAGCATCGACTGTAGTCGACAGCCACAGATGAACGCGCACAGCGACTTTAGCCGACAGCCGTGATACGACTTTTCTAATTTTTCATTTATCAAAATAAAATTGTGAACATTTAAAAATAACATAAAGAAAACATACATGTATATGTTAGCTATTCCGATTCACATGACAAGCAAAGCTGCCTGTAAAGTCAAACAAGCTTCCAGGGCTTTCAAGCTTTCCTCATCACACAAGAGCAAGACGGATTCGTCGTCAATGCGCAGCACAGACTGCCGTGTGGACCGTGAGTGCGGCTGTGGGCGAGGGGTCGCGGCCTGTGAGCGCCGGACTGAAGTGGCTTTAAGGTCGATTCCCGGGAAGAGAATTACTAGGTCAAACATTATGAATATTTTCAATGACCTTAATGCATTTTTAATCATCAAGGTTCTTCCTTGTATTTGTAATGTGGTTCGTAACAGGTGTGACTTAAATTCCCCTGGGTGTTTTTTATTTTTATTTTATTTTAGCGTATTATGGGGGCCCAAGTGTTACGGTTACCTATATTGCCCATGCCCCCCTCCCCCCTGGAGTCAGAGCCTCAAAGCGTGACCATCCCTCTGCAAGCGTTGCACATCTCCACTTCTTGCGGTTTGTATACACCCCTCCCCCTCCTCCCTCCCACCCGCCCGACACCCGATGAATGTTATTCCTATGTGTCCACTGGGTGTTCATTAATAACCCTCTTCTTCTCTTTTCCCATGTTGTCACCGTAGGCTCGGGGGCGCGGCGCAATCATGGAGGCCGGCCCGGAGGCGGCGCTGCTCCTGGCCAGGCTCCTGGAAGAGCTGGACGGCGGGCCGGGCGCCTCTTCCTACCAGGACCTGTGCAAGTCGCTGTGCGCGCGGCTGGACCTGGCGCAGCTGGCGCGGCTGCGGAGCGCGCTCTTCCACACGGCCTGCCTGGACCCGGGCTTCCCGGCCGCGCTGTTCAGGGACAAGACGCAGTGCAGCGCGGGCGGCCCGCAGTCCAAGAAGCTCATGGTGGCGGCGGACATCGTGACCATGTTCAACCTGCTCCAGGTGAGCGGGGCCGCCGCCGCCAGGGAGAAGCCGCCCGCGGGCCGCGCCAAGGCGCGCGCGCCGGACCCCTCCGACGCCTGCGGCCCCGCGGGCTGCGACGGCGCGTGCGAGCCGGCGCGAGGCCTTCGGCAGGGGCTGCCCCGCGCGGCCCCGGTGCCGGCAGGCGGTGGACGCCAGGGACCGGCCGCAGCAGTTCGTGCCCGCCTGCGAGCCCGGCTTCCTGCTGGGCGTCGGCGAGGGCGCGCAGAGCCGCGCGGCGTCGCTGGACCGGCTGCAGCCCCCGGACCCCTACCCCGCGGCCGGGCCCCCGCCCTGCGAGATGCAGCGCACCTACTTCCCCATGAGCGCGGGCGGCGAGGCGGGCTCGGACCAGGACTCCCTGCCCGCGCAGGGCCTCGGCGACGGCTTCGCCTCCAGCGAGGAGCCCTTCGCCGTGCCGTCCTGCGTCCAGAAAAGGACCATCTTCAAAGAGGACTTCCACAACCTGATGGCCGTGTCCCCCGGCCCCGCCGGCCAGGCCGAGGGCGAGCGCGGGGAGCCCACGGGGCGCAAGGAGCAGCGCAAGTCCCCGTTCTTCAACCACAGCTTCGAGATGCCCTACCACAGCCAGTACCTGAGCCCCGGCTACGCGCCGGCCCCCGACAAGAGGCGGGCAAAGCACGAGAGCCTGGACGACCTGCAGGCGTCCACGTACTTTGGGCCCACCCCCGTGCCGGGCGCCCAGGAAGCGCGGCGCTGCGCGGGGAGGCCCGGCAAGCAGACCCCGTGGCCCGCCAAGAGCTGGAGCCTGAACACGGAGGAGGTGCCCGACTTCGAGCGGTCCTTCTTCCACAGGAACCCCTCGGAGGAGAAGCTCCGCTACCCGAGCCCCGGCGCCCAGAGCCCCGGCTTCCCGGCCCCCGACCGGCGCCCCGCGTACCTCGCGCCCCAAGACCCACGGCCGCTGCTGCCCGCGGGCTACGCCGCGAAGCCAAGCGGGCTCAAAGCTAAAGACATCGCGTCCCCGGTCGACCTGGAGAAGCACGAGCCCGCCAAAAAGTTCAAGGACAAGAGCACCGGCTGCAGCGGCGGCGGCGGCCAGCAGCTGAGCTCCGACACGAGCAGCGTGGGGACCCAGACGGAGCCGCGCGCGCTCGAGCCCCGGGCGCGCAGGGACGTGTGCGCGCCGCCGGCGCGGGGCAAGTACAGCGACAGGCTGGCCCTGAAGCACTCGGACGACGACTCGGAGGGGGTGGTCAGCGACGACATCAGCGACATCTTCCGCTTTCTGGACGACATGAGCGTCAGTGGCTCCACGGGCGTGGTGCAGTCGTCCTGCTACGACAGCACGGGGTCCCTGTCCCAGCTTCCCAAGTCGGACTGCGACAGCTCCCCGGAGCGCAGCGTGGGCTCGGTGGCCGGCGGGGCCCCCGGCGGCCCAGGCGAGAAGGGCAGCCAGCGCGCCGAGGAGGAGCTGAAGACCAGCGTGTGCCGGCTGGTGCTGAGGATCGGCGAGATCGAGCGGAAGCTGGAGTCGCTGTCGGGCGTGCGCGAGGAGATCTCGCAGGTGCTGGGCAAGCTGAGCCGGCTGGACCAGCGGATGCAGCAGCCGCCGGCGGACCAGGGGCGCGCGCGGGCCGACCCCAACTCCTCCACCAGCGAGGCGGCGTCCGACGAGGACGAGGACAGCGCCTCGCCCCGGCCGTGCCGCGCGCACGGACCCTGCGCGCCCAGGCTGGACGGCGGCGGCGGCAGCGACTGGGGCTGCTCGGACGCCAGCGGCAGCAACAGCGCGAGCCTGCGCGTCAAGGCCCTGAAGAAGAGCCTCTTGGCCAGGCCGTCCTCGCGGTCCCTGACGGAGGAGAACAGCGCCACCGAGTCCAAAATCGCCAGCACCTCCAACTCGCCCCGGGACTGGCGCACGGTGCCCTACGCCGCCGGCCGCGCGGGCCTCGCCGAGGAGGTCAAGGGCCCCGCGGACGACAAGGACTGGCCGCGGAAACCCAAAGAGGTAACTCGCGTTTAGGGTCACGCAGCCGGGCGCCCGGCTTGCCATCCCAGCCCCGGCGCAGTTTCAGAGCCTAGAAGGTTGCGTTAAAGAGAACAGAAGGCCCGGGCTGTGTAGACGGGGCGGGCTCTCCGCGCTGGGGGGACGGGACTGGGCCGGCTGCGCTCCACAGAGCTGCCGTCAATCAGCCAGGGCGCGTGCTGGGCGCGGGGGCGCGGGGACGCACTGCGCGGGTGGTGGGAAAGCAGAGTGTCCCGCGCAGAAGTGCAGAAGGGGACTCTGTCCCAGCAGGGACGGCGGCTCCCCGGCCTCTCTGACAGGCAGGCGCAGGCCGCGCAGACCGGGAGACGACTGGAAGAGTGCTGGCCCTGAGCCCCTTTCCAGCGCTCCACTGGATGCATGGTGTTCCCCTGTACAAGCATGAGTTTTATTATTATTATTATTATTATAAGATAAATCGATGATTAGTACCGTGTTTCCCCGAAAAATAAGACAGGGTCTTATATTTATTTTTCCTCAAGAAGACACCCTAGGGCTGATTTTCAGGGGATGTGTTATTATTATTTTTTTAAGTACGGCACAGCCATCTACATTTATTCAAATAGAGTGAAGTCATCTTCTTCTGGAACATCATCCTCACTCTCCAGACCCCGAATCCCATCCTGAATGTCTTGCGACTCTGTTTCCTTTAGAACCACCGGCCCCGATCTCTCCTGTGGAGCCACAGAGCTCTCACGGGCGGATGGGAAGGGCTGCTCATGTTCTCTCCCGCTCCGCGACGACACGCACGGGTTGTGCAGACGCTGCGCAGCCACGCCCCCGTCACCAGGGCTGATTTTCGGGGTGGGGCTTCTATGGTGCACAAATGCTTAGAAATCCTGCCAGGGCTTATTTTATGGGTAGGGCTTATTTTGGGGGACACACGGCAAGGAAAGAAGACAAATGAGGAAATTATTTGTGGTTCTACTAACCAAGGCAGCAGCACCTCTTGCTGTGGTGTCTTCCTTTCGTTTTTAGTGTTTCCCCTGCACCGGCGTGTGCTGTGTGCTCTTTGCCCGCGGGCGCGAGTGACTTGCACGGTTGCAGCGGACGTCACCGTGTCGGTTCCAGAACCAGCGTTGCACGCACACACACTCAAATGCTGTCTTTCTCGTGTCCCTTGTAGCAGGGACGATTCGTTTGCCTGTGGCTGCGGCTGCCCCTGTCCGTTCCCAACAGGCTGCGGGGAGCCAGTCCCGGCCAAGGCGGGCAGTGTCAATCTGTCGCTCAGCTAGGTTCCCTCCCCTGCGTCTCAAGGCCACCGGACAGGCCACGGGGCCTCCTGAGGTCTCCGAGGTCGGGGCCGGCAGCGGGCGGGGTGACAGCAGCGGTGCGGGCTGCAGAAACTGCAAAGCCAGAGGAGGAAGGAGATCCGAGCTCCTCGCCTGGTGTTGGGAAGGGAACCCTTGGGAAACCGGGTTCTAAGAAAGTTTCAGGGAAAAGAGAAGAAGCCGTGTCTTTTCCTGACCCCAGAGAAAGCTCCAGCACCTGGCCTTGCAGCACTGTGTCTCTCTGCGGCCACTCACAGCATGTGGTGGTGGCGTGGAGCCAGCCCGGCACGTGCCGCCACGCCGACAACATGCTCCACGCGGTCCCCGGCCTCTGGCTCCACGGCTGTTGTCTCTCAGCTGCCAGGTGTCTGGCCAGGTGTCTGGGTCCTGGGTCTCAGGTAGCGTTCAGCAGGCGCAGATGGGCGGGTGCTTCTGTGGAAATGTCGGGTCACGCTGAACGGACCGCACCTACCGCCTGCAAAGTGTCAGAGCCTCATGGAACCTGAAGGAAGACTCGCAAGCTCAAGTGACATCTGCCCGACATGCCTGGCAAAAGTGCCTTCTGTGTGCCACAAGCCCTCCTAATCTTGTCCCCCTCCTGTGACCCCATTTCTCCCTCCCGGCCTGTGGTTCTCCCAGCTCCGGGCTGAGATTCCCGTGGTGGTGACCGGGCCAGGCCCACCTTCTGGGCTTCGGTCCCACGGCTCGACTGCCAAAGGCTGGCCCCCCCGAAAGTCTTGTCTGTGTGTCAAAACCCAGGGTCCCCAAACCGGACTCCTCTGCTACTTATCACGCTTGTGCAGAGGGGCTGCCGTTCCAGCAATTCCCCTCCCACCCTGACGTCCCTCTTTGGCTCCCTCCTGTCCAGGGTAGCTCCCAGACCCTGTGGGTTTGTCCCCCAGGTCCAAGCTCTCAGGACGGCCCACCTGGGATGTTTGGGCCACCGGCCACCTTCCCTGTCCCCTCACTGGCCACGGCTGCATCCACGTTCCTGGAACTCCACGCTCCGTGGGTCGCGGGTCTGCAGAGCCTTCTATGTTCAACTCTTCCCTGTGCACAGAAAGAAGTTCCAACATTCTCAGCCAGGCCTTCGGGGCCCCTGTGAAGTCCACGTACCTCTCCCCACGTGGGAGGCTCTGTACCCCCGGCTGGGTCCCGCTCTGCCCTGACGGGTCCACCTGTCCTCACTCAAGACGTCAGCAGCCATGGTGATGCATTCAGTCTCTCATTCGGTACATGCTAGTTGAGCACCTGTTATGGCCAGACCCTGTTCCGCTGTCAGACTTCTCTTCCCCATTCTTCCACCAGGACCGTCTGGGCCACCTCTCTGCGTGGACCCAAGTCCCGAGTTCCCCTCAGGGTCTCTGAATTCATATGTCTCTGGGGTCTTTTCCTGGGGATTATTGCTGATCTGCCTGTAGTCCTCTTTGTTCAGATGTAGTGGACACAAACTTGCATTAAAATATATGTTGCGTATAAATATTGGGTTCCTGCCTACCATGCTTCCTCCAAAATAAGACCCACTTATAAAATAAGCCCTAGCAGGATTTCTAGGCATTTGTGCAATAGAAGCCCCTACCCCAAAATCAGCCCTAGTGACGGGTGTGGCTGCGCAGCGCGTCTGCACAACCCGTGCGTGTGGTCGCGGAGCGGGAAAGAACACGAGCAGCCTTCCCATCCGCCCGTGAGAGCTGTGTGCTCCACAAGAGATCGGGCCAATGGTCTAAAGGAAGAGTCGCAAGACATTCAGAATGGGATTCAGGGTCTGGAGAGTGAGGATGATGTTCCAGAAGACGACTTCACTCTATTTGAATAAATGTAGATGGTTGTACTGTACTTAAAAAAAAAAAAAAAAAACACATCCCCTGAAAATAAGCCCTAGGGTGTCTTCTTGAGGAAAAACAAACATAAGACCCCGTCTTGTTGTCTGGGAAACACGGTAGTTAGAACCCGACTCCTCAGTGTTAGATAGGACAGGTGTGGGCAGCGATTAACTTTCCATCTTACGAGCAAGAGCAGATTCGAATCCTGGCTCTGCCACTCACCGCCGGCAGCGGGTCAGTGTTTCAGGCCCTCTGGCCTGAGCCTTCATGTCCACACCGGGGACAGTGACAGCCGTGACCTGGGCGTGCTCATGAGAAGGTGAGGGGAGGCACTGCGTGTCCAGCACTGGGCAGCAGTGGACACGCCATCAGCCCCAGCTAGTTGTGATGATGCTGGCAGCGGCTGCCACCCGGTCCCCCCCCCACCCCGGCTGGGCGCTGGGATCACTAGTTGAGCACAGACTCTCTGAAGCCGGGCGGTGGGTTTAACCCCCAGGTCCTGCCCTGCTGGCTGGGCGCTCTGAGCAGTCCGCTGAGTCCTTCTGACTCTACTTACCTGCCTGCACAATGGGAGCTCATCACAGTATCGACAGCGTAAGGATTGGGTTAAATGAATTCCTCCTGGGGCAGAAACAAAAGCTCCTATTGGTGCTGTCATTATCACAAGCTTCTCTTGCAGAATTCCTCCCCACCAGGGGTGCATGGTTTCCATACTTCCTATTTGCCAATAACTGCGTTTTGTGGCCCGCATGTCCTCAGGGCCTGGTGTCCAAAAGCTGCTGGCCGCCCGGCCGCCCGGCCGTGCCACTGGCCCGGCCTTCTCTGTGCCCTTCTGCAGGCGGAGCGGCAGTACGACCCCCACCCCCAGCACCGGCTGCCCAAGCAGCCCAAGGACGGCTTCCTGGTGGAGCAGGTGTTCAGCCCGCACCCCTACCCGGGGCCCCTCAAGGCTCACGTGAAGAGCAACCCCCTGTACACGGACATGAGGCTGACGGACCTGGCCGAGGTCAAGCGGGGCCAGCCGTCCTGGACCCTCGAGGAGTACGCCCGGAACACGGGCGACAAGGCCAAGCTGGCGGCCCTGGACCTACAGGTGAGCCTCCCGCTGCCCCGGGGCAGGGCGGGGGGAGGGGGAGAGCCCGGCCAGGGGCCGGACAAACAAACGCAGGGACGGGTCACCGATGGTGCAGACCGGCTTCTCTCCCCCCCACCCTGGGTCCCGCCGCGGAGTCCCGAACTCTCATCCATCAGAGAGCAGAAGAGACCTTTTAAAACAGGGAACTGTGGCTCTGCCTGTCTGTAGACATTGAACAGCGCGAAAGCCCTGCTTGCTTACTGCCTCACCTGTTCATTTACCGGCCGCCTGACTTGCTAACGGTGCATTTGAGCCTCCGTGCCCAGGGCAGATTCTGTTACTCGCTCACGAGGCCTGGGCCGAACTGATCTATGAGACACAGGCCGATTTCTCCTTCCGTGTGTAGAGCGTGGGCTAAGCATGTCTGTGGGGAGCTGTTCCGTGGCCCGTTTGCAGGAACGGAGACTGAAACGAAAACACAAATCAGAAACAAAGAAACACAGACACACATATGAGGTCGACTGAGTAATAATACCGGGTCCGTTTTATTTTTATACTGTAGAGATTAAAGTCATTCCTTGTACGTAACCACCCAGGCATTGCAGCCATGGCATAAATTTCGGAATAGCCTTAGGGATGGCAGACTCCCTGACTCAGAGTCTCCAGGTGGTGCTCAGCACCAGCGTGATAAGGGCCGAGATACAAGGATGGGCAGGGAGCCACAGGGGCCAATTTCTCCATCCCAGCTTCTCTTAGGGTGACCCCCTAAGTTCGCTGAACCCACCAGCTGTGCCTGGCAGGTCACCCCTCCCCCCTTGAGGGTCTTACCGTATGACTAACCAGCATCTTATGGGGTGTACCAGCAATCAACAGGAACAATGTGTTTTATCGTGTGGCTCCACCACAATGCCGTGGGCGGGAGCTCAGCTTGCTACTGCAGCTCAGGTCTTGTTGTCTCTAGGCAGCAGCCTTGTTTATCAACAGACCTTGTCCGGAACCACATTGCTTTCAAACCACTCTCAGGACACATACATTACTCACGTAACTTTAATGTTTAAACTAGGAAAATATATGTCAGTCCCTTACAGAGGGATGAGCTCAGGATGTGTTTCCGTACGGAGGCAGCCAGGTAAGAGCCGCCTTCTGAGCTCTGGATGCAGTGTGCCAGAGGGCGCGTTCCCTGTTCACCCCACAGGCCAGGGCCTTTTATTTCTGGGGGCAGCGTCTCCCGGCCGCAGAGCGAGGGAAGCCGCCCTGTCACCGCAGGCTGTGCACCCCGCGTACCCAGGGTGCCGGCCACAGCCAGGCCTGAATGACCATGGGCAGGAAGCACAGTGTGGAACTGCCTGGGGGCGGTCAGTGTGTCAGGGATCCCCAAATGGCCTTTCCTAGGACAGCGGGAGCTGCCTCGTGGGGCAGAGAGACGTGGGGTCCTGGCGGCTCCGGGTTCTGACCAGGGCTCTGCGTGTGGCCTGCGGCTCCGCTGCCCCCAGTGAGGGGCCCGTCCTGCACTGCAACCTGGGCGTGCGTCCAGCTCACAGGGTCACCATTGAGCATTGCAAATGACGCCCGTGTTTCCCTGAAAGTAAGACAGGGTCTTATATTTATGTTCCCTCAAAAAGATGCCAGGGCTGATTTTCAGGGGATGTGTTATTTTTTAAGTATGCACAGCCATTCTACATTTATCCAAATACATGCAGCCGTCTTCTTCTGGAACCACATCTCACTCTCCAGACCGAATCCCGTCCTGAATGTCTTGCGACTGCTGTTTCCTTTAGAACACCGGCCCACTCCCTGTGGAGCCACAGGCTCTCGAACGGGGCGGGAATTGGGAAAAAAGGCTCTCGTGTTCTTTCCGCTCCGCGATGAACAGCCGGGTTGGTGCAGACGCTGCGCAGCCACGCCCGTCAGAGGGCTTATTTTCGGGTAGGCTCTATGGGGCAAATGCTTAAATCCCGCTGGGGCTTATTTTTATGGATAGGGCTTATTTTCGGGGAAACACGGTATATAACGTGCTGGCGCCCGGCCCGGGCATTGAGAAAGACGGCTCCTCTTTGGCTGGTGGGTCTGCGGACCCGGCCGCGTCCAGTGGCTTCCCACAGTGGCCGGCAGTGTGCGTCGCAGGGCAGGGGTGTCTACGACTACTTGTGTCTGCAAATCAGAACCGGGGAGGCTCAGCCTTGCCCGGTCATACAGTCTGAATTCCTGCCGGACTGTTGACAGTAAGGCCCACGTTCTGTACCTCCACCGCGGGTTCACTTCTCTTCTGATAACATCGCGGGCTTCCATGCTCACAGACAGTGGGCTCAGCGCATTCCTTTATCGTGGGACCCTTACGTGGCAGTAAGTTATGGGACGGGCAGCGTCCGACAGGGCGTAGTGGGTGCGGCTCTGAGCCCCTCCCCTGCCCCTTACAGCTGGGGGTTTCCATGGTGTGCCAGTCCCCCTCCTTCCAGGCCCTCCCTTTCCGGCACCTTCGGCAGGTGGAGGCCAGACCCGGGGTTTGCTTTCACCCTTCTTTGCAGGGACTGGGGGACCATCTTCAGGCACCTTCCTGTCCCCCGGACCCACTGTAGCTCTTCTGCTCTCCGGTGCGTAGATCATCGCAGTTTTGGAAGAAACTAATTAAAAACAGTTTATTGCTGCTGAATCAGTCCCAGTAAAGTGTTACAGCTACGACAGGTAACCAGTTTCCTTCTCTCTGAGCCCGGGGGAAACTGACGTGTGTGGTTCACGCACGGTTACCTCTGAGCCGCCTGGGAGGACCGGGGAGGAGAGCGGTAGCTTCGGGGCGGCGGGGGGCCAGAGAGCACCGCCAGGCTCAGCCTGGGGCCACGGCTCCACCCTGGGCCCCTCTCCCACCAAGCACGCCAGCTCGCGTCCACTCGCCCCCGGCGTCGTGAGCTGCCGAGGAGCCTTTCACGCCCAGGACAGACCGCACAAGTGCCCGCCGGCAGAGCTTCCCTGGGGAGGCCGCGGTTGAGCAGAAGGACAGACTCCGTATCCGCAGCCAGGCTGGACGGGGTGGATGCCCGGCAGGGTCGGGGAGAGGCTCCGGGCCCCAGAGGATCTGCAGCAGGATCTTTGCAGAGGCTGGAAGGCTGACTGAGCACCCCGCACGTTAAGGACGTCTCCAGATTGAGATGTTTGCTTCCATCATGGGCTTCGAGTGGCCGAAACCTTCTAACCCCGCCAGATGGCCTGAAAAATTCACACCGGCCCTTAGACGTGATGCCTCGCGGGGGAGAGGGCTGGGAGAGTTTCAGAGACCCCTGGTCTTCGCATTTCCATGTGCCGTGGGGAATCAGGCACTATGGGACAGGGCCGGCAGACTTGCTCTAATGGGAAGGGCCAGTAATATGCGAGGTGCTCCAGCCAGATGGTGAGTGCATCCAGGCCAAGAGGGTGAGGCCAGGCCAGACAGTGAAGTGCTCCAGGCCAATGGGAGTGCTCCAGGCCAGACAGTGAGTGCTCCAGGCCCAGAGTGTCAGGCCAGAGGGTGATGCTCGGCCAGACAGTGAGTGCTCAGGCCAGAGGGTGAGTGCTTCCAGGCCAGACAGTGATGCTCAGGCCAGAGGGTGAGTGCTCCGGCCAGAGGGTGAAGTGCTCCAGGCCAAAGATGGTGAGTGCTCCAGGCCAACAGTGAGTCTCCAGGCCAGAGGGTGAGTGCTCAAGGCCAGAGGGTGAGTTGGCTCCAGGCCAGACGTGAGTGCTCCAGCCAGAGGTGAGTGCTCCAGGCAGAGGGTGGAGTGCTCCAGCCAGAGGGGAGTGCTCCAGGCCACAGTGAGTGCTCCAGGCAGGGGTGAGTGCTCCAGGCCAGAGAGTGCCCAGGCCAGAGGGTGAGTCCCAGGCCAGAGGTGAGTGCTCCAGGCCAGAGGGTGAGTGCTCCAGGCCCAAGACAGTGAGTGCTCCAGGCCAAAGACGGTGAGTGTCCAGGCCAGAGGGTGAGTGCCCCCAGGCCAGTGAGTGCCTCCAGGCCAGACAGTGAGTGCTCCAGGCCATGAGGCCCAGGCCAGACATGAAGTGCTCAGGCCAGTGAGTGCTCCAGGCCCAGAGGGTGAGTGCTCCAGGCCAGTGATTCCAGGCCCAGACAGTGAGTGCTCCAGGCCAGACAGTGAGCGCTCCAGGCAGACGGTGAGTGCTCCAGGCCAGAAGGTGAATGACTCCAGGCCAGACAGTGAGTGCCCAGTGCTCCCAGGCCAGACAGTGAGTGCTCCAGTGCTCCAGCCAGACAGTGATGCTCCAGGCCAGACAATGAGGGCTGCCACCGAGTGCCAGAGGCGGGGGCCCAGGAGCAGGACACACGACCAGCCCGGTGGCCGTCCTTTGGACAAGGACAGCATCCGGTTGGGACGGTGGCCATGCACCCAGCCAGAGGGAGCGGCAGAAATGAGACCCCAGCCCGCCCGCCGCCCATGCCTGAGCCGCGTGGGGCCAGGTGGCGCCTCTGCCGGTGTTTCCTGGGTCCCGTCCTGGGGACGTCCGGCGGGAAGAGACGGAAGCGGATCGAAGGGCCAGGCGGAGAATCGCCGTTCCGCCAGAACACCTGCAACCCAGGAAACCCCTTTTTTCTGTTTTTTTGAGTTCTAAAGGATCTTTTAAGCCTGCTTGGTATACGTGTGTGCGCGCATGTGTGTGCGCGTGTGATTTCTAACGTGTGCATGCCGATAGTGTTAACCAGCGTAAGCAGTCTTGAAGTGCTGTCCTCGTTTATGCTTGGATCCCGGTGGCCTCCCTGAGTCGCAGCGTGTCCTTGCTTTCACGTGACCACGCGTCACGTTTGCCGTGACCACGAGCGCCCCTCCCTCTCCGAGACGGATTTAGCCATCAACGCCGTGGCTGGGCTCCTGGGCAGGCAGTACGGGTAGATGTGATGTTTTCCCCTGCAAAAGTTCGAGAAGCTCAAGGGAGACCAGGAAAAAACGTCCGTGCGGCCTTTCCCTGGGGCCCCGTCACCCCAGAGTCCAGACTCATCGCCACGCGGCGCCGGCGGGACCGACCGCCCGCCACAGGTCCTG